GACAGCAAAGTATTGACTTTATTGTCCATGAAAGAACACAAGAGTCCAGAAGCCTACCCAGGATAATAAACTCTTGATTTATCAGTTCAGCAGAGCATGCAGAGCCTTTTTCAGTAAGTGCTATGGGGTCAAATGAATATCTATATGTAAAAAGTGAATACTGATCCATTTCTTATCACTTATGTAAAAATTTTTAAGGGACTTGTAAATTGAACTTAATAAAATTCTCTAGGAAACAGAATTTGAGTATGTTTAATTTCTTCAACATGACAAAAAGCACTAAACATAAAGGAAAATAAATGTAGAATTAAGAGTTTCTGTTAACCAAAAATAATATACGGTCATAAAAAAAATTTTTAAAAAGCACTAAGTGGAAAACAAAGAGCCTGATTCAAAATATATAAAGAATTCCTACAAATCAGTAAGAAAGTGGCCACAAGCAATTTTTTAACTTAGTGACTAGTGAACATATTAAAGTAATTCAACTTTAGTAATCAGAAAGGCAAATTAAAACTCCAGTGAAGGGACTGATTACTTAAGTTGAGACAGTCTCTTCAATAAATGGTACTGGGAAAATTGGACATCTATATACAAAAGAATGAAACTCAAAGGTAAACTCAAAATGGATGAAAGACCTCAATGTAAGACAAGAATCCATCAAAATCCTAGAGGAGAACATAGGCAGTAACCTCTTCAACATCAGCCATAGCAACTTCTTTCAAGACATTTTCCCTCCAAAGGCAAGGTAAACAAAAGTGAAAATGAACTTTTGGCACTTCATCGAGATAAAAAGCTTCGCATAGCAAAGGAAACAGTCAACAAAACGAAGAGGCAATCCACGAAATATGAGAAGATATTCGCAAATGACACTACAGACAAAGGGCTATAAAGGTCTATAAAGAACTTCTCAAATTCAACACCCAAAAAAGCAAATAATCAAGTCAAAAAATGGGCAAAAGACATGAGCAGACACTTCTCTAAAGACATACAAATGGCTAACAGACACATGAAAAAAATGTTCATTACTAGCCATCAGGGAGATTCAAATCAAAACCACATTGAGATACCACCTTACATTATACGAATTAGAATGGCAAAAATCGATGAGGCAAGAACAAAGGTTGGAGAAGTTGCAGAGAAAGAGGAACCTTCTTACACTGCTGGTGGGAATGCAAGTTGGTGCAGCCACTTTGGAAAACAATGTGGAGGTTCCTCAAAAAGTTAAAAATAGAGCTACTTTATGACCCAGCAATGCACTACTGGGTATTTACCCCAAAGATACAGATGTAAAGAAGGGCCATATGTAGCCCAATGTTCACAGTAGCAATGTCCACAATAGCCAAACTGTGGAAAGAGCCGAGATGCCCTTCAACAGATGATGGATAAAGATGTGGTCCATATGTACAATGGAATAATACTCAGCCATCAGAAAGGACGAATAACCAAGTTTTGCACCAACATGGATGGGACTGGAGATTATGCTAAGTGAAATAAGTCAAAAAGAGAAAGTCAATTATCATATGGTTTCACTTATTTGTGGAACAAAAGGAACAGCATGGAGGATATTAGGAGAAGGAAGGAGAAAATGAAGGGGGAGAAATCAGAGTGGGAGACAAAGCATGAGAGACTATGGACTCCAGGAAACATACTGAAGGTTTTAGAAGGGAGAGGTATAGGGGGATGGGTGAGCCTGGTAATCGGTATTAATGAGGGCACAGATTGCATGGAGCACTGGGTCTTATATGCAGACAATAAATCATGGAACACTACATCAAAAACTAATGATGTACTACATAGCGACTAACCTAAATAAATAAAACTACAGTGAGATACCAGTATCTACCCATAAAAAAGAGTAAAAGTAAAAAATACAATGATAAGTATTGGTGAAGATGTAGAATGTTAGAATTCTTACTGGTGGAAGTGAAACTAGTATATTCATTTTGGAAAGCTTCCGGACAGTAATTACTGACCTACTGAAGTTGGAAATCTACATGACTTATGAGGCAATTTCTCTCTGAAATATACATCCAACTGAAATGTATGCACAAAAGCATCAAAAGTAATGCACAAGAATATTCATAGCTATATTCTCTATTGCCATTCATTGAAAAAAATCCAAACATCTGTCAACAGTAGAATAATCACATTCATTCAATGAAATACCATACAGCAAGGAGAATGAACTGCTGCACACCACTAAGTAGATAAAACTCACCAACAAAATGTTAAACAGAAGATATCGGATATAAAAATACATATTATATGAATTTATATTAAGGTCAATGAGCAACAAACTAAACTATAATGTTTAGAGACCCAGTGTAGAAGGCAACAATATGAAGAAAAGCAGGAAGGCAATTATCATAGGTATCATGACAGTAATATCTAGGATAACACAGTTTTAGTAATTGAGACTAGAATTATTCTGAGTGACTGACTGCTGATTATGTGGATCTATTTTGATAATCATTTGATACAGTACTTCACTGGGTATATGTGATCTTTCAGTTCTGAAAAGTGTAATTAAATTCCAGATGGGTTAAAATTTAAACTTAAAATTCAGACAATAAAAATTCTGCAAAATTTAAAAAAAAAAAAAAAAAAAGGAGGGGTGGGGAGGAAGGGAACCTGGAAGATACAACCCATATGGGTGAGTGAGACTTTCTTCATTACATGCAGGAAACTCTGTTTAAAACAAAGATAGACCTGTTCAATTGCATAAAGAGTTAAAAACTTTGTTATCTTTTGTACAAAAAGATTTGTTAATTGGGATGATAAAAGAGTTAACATCTTACAATATAACAAGTGCAAACATTAAAATAAGAAGTTTCATAGAATAAATTCGGTGTCAACAAACATGTAAAATTGTTCAAATTCTCTAATTAAGAAATTAAAATAATCATTTTAATCTCTCATAGAGGCAAAAATGTTTAAAATTCTATAAAATGTACTAATGGTAGTGTAAGAAAAAGGTATTCTCATACACTGACATTTCAGCTGTTTTTAAAAGCAACAGGGTAACATCTATTCAAATTAAAAATATATTCTTTCACCCAGCAATTTTGCTACTAAAAAGCTATCTCAGAGAAACAAAATTACACCTAGAGAGGGATATACATGCAGATATTTATTGCAATCATATTCAAGGTGGCAAAAAATGCAAAAATAAATGTCTATCAAGAGAAATTGTTAAAAACAAAATTAAAATACGACTGCTTTTTAAAATCATGCATACATTTAGAATAGAACTACATTACTTCTTAGATTTCTGATATGCTAAGTGAGAAAAGCAAAATGCAGAAAAATTATATGTGATCTTTTTTCTAAAACATAACAAAAACATATCATTGCATTTATGTTCACATAATTATATCCATTCATTCACTGAATTCTATGCACATGGAGAAAATGTAAACTATTATGATGTACCTCAGGGCAGGGGTTAAAAAATTCTATGAATGGTAAAAGGAAGGGGAACCCAAGCAAGTGAAGGAAAGAGTGCAAGAAAAACTGCACTTAAGAATGAATAACATGGTCATGTTTATTCACTTCTGTTAAATTATATAGGAGGCATATGTAGAATATCAGGTTTCTTCAAAAAAAAAAAAGATAGCCTCTCGTTAGGCACCTGAAATATATTTTTTCCTTAAAAAAAAAAGTCTTAAAAAATTAAGAGAAGACGGTGCCAGGAAAACGAGTAGAAATAAAGCTTGAAGGAATTTAAACTATAGAAATGACTGCCAGTAGATGGCAGTAAAACCCTCCAAAAATTATAGGAACATTTTCTTAATTGCTAGAAAAACTTACCTATAATCTTTACCTCATAAAAATATTCAAATTATATATGCAGACCATGAATGAAGTTCCTTAAGATAGACTTTAACCCTTAATTTAACACTAATATATAATTATCTATTTCCTAAATCATCTAGAAGTCATTAAAAAAAAAAAAAAACCTCAAGAATAATGCCCTCTGAGAGCTGACAAAATATTCAGTTAGTATGTATTTACCTTACATCTACTATGTGTAAAATATGGAGGCAAACTGAAGAAAACATTTATTGAGTTTTAATCAAGTAGAACAAAATGTAAAGTAAATGGAATGTTTACAAATAAACTAGTACAAGCTAATGTACTGGTTTGTACAGTGGCATGTCAACTCTCAAGAATGCATGTGGCCACAGAACTTAGTGTCCCAAAACCAAATAAATAAATAAGCAAGCCATTAGGCAGATAAAACATGTCACACTTTTTCACTGAAACTCATACTTTACTCAGTAGCAGGCCTTTTTACTCTTACTACACACCAAAAGTTCTAATGGTTCTTTAAAGTGGTTTAGAAGTTATCCAGCCATTCCACTTACTACCTCAAGGCTTAGTATAGAGCACTACTTTACTAAGTTTATGGGTCCTGTAGCTTAGGAATTTGCATATGATGAATATGATGGAGTTGGCTTGTTTCTGTACAATCAACACCCATGGCTTCAGCAAGGAAAACTCAAATGGCTGGAGCCTGGAACTATTGACAGGAGTCCTTACACATGGCCTCCTCATGTGGCCTGGGCTTCCTGGATGCAGTATCTGGATTTCCTGCATGATGGTCCAAGGCACCAGGTACAAGTGTTACAGAAAATAAGGTGAAAGCTACATCACTGCTTGTGAACTAGCCTTGTAAGATCACATGGTATGACTTCTACTCTGTGCTTTGGTCAAAGCACTCAAACCTACCCACTCCCAAGGGAATGGTAATTATACTCCTTTTCTTGAGGGGGAATAGCAAAGTCACAGCATATAAAAACTTAAATATTACTGTGACAATCTTTGGGTAATAAAGTATAACACAGTATGCCCTCTGGCCCCAATGCACATCATTCCCATATGCAGGATTCACTACACCCTTCCCCAAAAGACCTCCAAAGTCTCAGTCCATGATGGCATCAAAACAGTCTCAGAGCTCATCACCTAAATCAGGTCCAAGTATAGATTAGGCTCCCCAGTAGTCTTTTCCTCAAGTACAGTTCCTCTTGATCTGAAGACCTATGAAACAAAATGGCATGTTAGCCCACACACATCCAACACACCACTGTGGGACAAGCATAGAGTAACTTCTATAGGCACTCTCATTCAAAACAAAGAATCATAAGGCATACAGTAATTGCTTGGAAATCCCTGCAGACTAAATCCTCAACTCATTAGGTACATTTTTTTTCCATATTGTGGCAGTAGCAATTTTGCTAGATATTCTTTTATTATATATAACAAAGATCTCCAGTCTCCTTTCCTCCAGCTTTCAACATTTTCCTCAGCTTCCTTAAGGCCTTCACGGACAGCCTCCTTGAGGCCTGTCAGGTTTCCTCTCCTCAAGGACCTTCCAGTTTCTGCCCATGATTCATCCAAAAGTTATAGCAGCATCTCATATCTGGTAACAAATTTTGTTTCAGTTATTATTTCTTTTTTTATTAACATATAATGTATTATTTGCTTCGGGGGTACAGATCAAGAAATGGGTAGAAGACATGAACAGACATTTCTACAAAGAAGATATCCAAATGGCCAACAGACACATGAAAAAGTGCTCAATGTCACTCATCATCAGGGAAATACAAACCAAAACCACAGTGATATACCACTTCACACCAGTCAGAAGAGCTAAAATTAACAAGTCCAGTTATTATTTCTTTTTTTTTTTAAAGATTTTATTTATTTCTTTGGCAGAGACAGATCACAAGTAGGCAGAGAGAGGAGGAAGCAGGCTCCCTGCCAAGCAGAGAGCCTGATGCGGGACTCGATCCCAGGACCCTGAGATCATGACCTGAGCTGAAGGCAGAGGCTTAACCCACTGAGCCACCCAGGTGCCCCTCCAGTTATTATTTCTATACAACAACTTCTTCCTAAAACCCAGGGATAAAATAATATTATATCACAGATTCTATGAGGCAGAAATTGAAACAAAACACAGCAGGCTGGCTTAAATCTGTTCCACAATGTCTGGACCTTCGATAGGGATATGCAAGTGGTAATACACCGGAACTATCAAGAAAAGAGCCCAAACGGAACCTTTCCATGTAGCTTGAGTTTCCTAGAGCATGACAACCTTCAAGGTCACTGGACTACTTGCATGGCAACTCGAAATTAAACAGGACTATTCTAGTGAACAAGTTAGAGGTACACAACCTTGTACAACCTAATCATACAAGTCAAGCAGCACTCCTTAAAAAGGGAACAGGACAGAATACCAATGGTGTTGTAGCCATTTCTGAAAACTAAAATCCTCTATCCCAGTTTATCAAGAAATAAACGAAGACCAAAGTGCTCTTGGCAATACGTATAACGACAGGAGGGAGAAATAATGCTTGCAACACATGCATTGTTTTTTAAAGATTTTATTTATTTGACAGAGAGAGATCACAAGTATGCAGAGAGGCAGGCGGGGGCAGGGGGAGGAGGCTCCCTGCAGAGCAGAGAGCCCAATGTGGGGCTCTTTCCCAGGACCCCGAGATCATGACATGAGCCAAAGGAAGAGGCTTAACTACTGAGCCACCCAGGCGCCCCAACACATGCGTTTTTGCTATCTCTCAAAACCCTATTAAGATAACATGAGAAGGTCGCCTGGGTGGCTCAGTGGGTTAAGCCTCTGCCTTCAGCTCAGGTCATGATCTCAGGGTCCTAAGATCCCCAGAGTTGAGTCGGGCTCTCTGCTCAGCGGGGAGCCTGCTTATCCCTCTCTCTCTACCTGCCTCTCTGCCTACTTGTGATCTCTGTCAAATAAATAAAATCTTAAAAAAAAAAAAAAAGATAAAATGGGAGAAAAGCCACTTGGGTTCCTCAACCACTGAACAAATAAGTAAAGAAGAGTTATATATAGTGGCTGAGGTGCTTGATCCAGCTTATAATGGAGGAAGAGTAGAAATTAAAACAAGACGTCAGAGAATATGCCCAAAATCCAAGTGATTGTATGACTTCCAAGTTCTTCCTTAATCAATGGTGTAAGTTAATGAAAACCTAGGGAATTCTTGTCTTGGCTACGACATGGATATTAAACTTGTCCTATTACAAGCAACAGGACATAAAACCTAGAGAATATATAGAACTTTTGCAGGCATTGGACAGTACTCATGAAAGGCTGTAATCCTTAAGAAAGGAGACATACATGGAAAAATCCCTATATCCATCCAGATTCCCTCCCTAAGTAAGTTATTTGAACCACAATGCAGGAAGGAAAATCAAGGCAAGGTTCAAGGCAGCTGGGATTTAGGTGTCACAGTTAGATCCACAGAGAATGAACCCCAAAGGCTTGCATGTTAATTCCACCGGTCCTTAGCCAACTTCTAAGCTGCAAATTTACTGGGCAAAACTCTTTATAGTTAGTGTAGCTATGATAAGAGGTTGAAAGCTGGGAGGAGTTTCCGGACGTAACAGGGTGCTTGGGAGAATTTGCAGTTTGGGCCAAGCCCGAATATAAGCACCCTGGAAAACAAGCTGAGCACTCAGTTGAGACTCCAAAAAAGTGATCTACAGAAAGATCAAGATTAAAGCATGAAAACAAAATTAAAAATACATATTCCCTTATACTAGATGAGTAAAAGCCAAGTGATCCATCTGTAACTTAAACATCTACCAAAACAAAAATTTATAATCTTAAAAAGAAGGAAATATAACCCAAAATAACTAAAATATATATCCACATTGTCTTCTGTGTAATAAAAAAAATAGGGAAAGAAACCGGTAAAAGTGATACATAACCAAGAGAATTAAAGTAGGCATCCATTAATGATAAACTCTCAAATTTAGACTAGAAAAAAACTTCAACCTGTTTAAATGTTAACACACAACCACAAACATCATACTTAGGTATAAGACAGGCCTTTCCCCTAATACAGGCAATAAGACATGGATACCTGCTCCCACCATTTCTTTCCGTTATATTGGAGATTCTAAATACTGAAATTTGGCAAGAAAAAAAAAAAAAAAACAGGATCCTAATAAAGAGAAGACTTAAATTTTTTTGCATAGTATATTCTGCATGCAGCAAATCCAAAGAAACACATATACAAATTAGAATGAATGGATAAGTACAGAAAGGTTACAAAACACAAGGTCAAACTTCAAAAAATCAATCATATTCTAATTCCAAAAGATGGAACAATCAATTAGAGAATGAGATCAATATCTTTCATAATAGCAACAAAGAACGAAAATATTTATAAATAGAATAAGTGCTTCAAGACCTGTACAGTAAAAATTACAAATATGGAGGAGGGAAATTAAAGATCAACAAACAGTTCCCATTCATGGATTGGAAAATTCAGTATTGTTAAAATAGCAACTCTTCCCAAATTAGTCTACAGATTCAACCAACTGCCATAAAATCTAGCAGGCTTTTTTGCAGATATTTAAAAGGTGACCCCCACCACATTCATACAGAAATGTAACAGACCCAAAACCATTTTGGAAAAAAAAATGAGAATTTTCACATTGATTTCAAAAATATTCCAAAGCTATAGTAATCAAAATGGTGAAGTATAGGCAAAAGGCTAATCCTATTCATCAATGGAAGATAATTAAGAGTCCACAAATAAATCATTTTGGGTCAAGTGATTTTGACAAAGTTTCCACAACAACTCAGTGGACAAAGAGTCTTTTTAGATAAATGGTGATGTAAAAACTGGAAATCCACCTGCAAAAAAAAAAATCAACAAATAAAAATAAAAATGAAGTTAGATCCCACACCTCATTCCACATACAAAAATTAACTTAAAATAGATCAAATACCTAAATAAGAACTAGGATTCTAAAACTTAGGAAAAAACTTTTATAAGCATTCGTCATGTTGAATTAGGTAGTAATTTCTTACGTAGGACACCAAAAGCAAATGTAAAAGCAACAAAAATATGGATATCAATGGACTCCATCAATATTAAAAACATCTGTCCTTCAAATGGACATCAAAGCCAAACCGACAACCCTCAAAAATGGCATAATATACTTGTAAACCTATACGGGATAAGGCCTTGTATCCAGAATACACATTACTACTCCACAATAAAGAGAAAAAAAAATTTTAATGGTGAAAATTTTTGAAAACTTATTCAAAGATATACAAATGGCTAATAAGCACATGAAGACATGTTCAATAGCATTAATTAAATGCAAATTAAAACCAAAAGACAGCTTTTCACATCCACTAGGATGGCAAGAATAAAAATGGATAAAGAACCAAGAACTGGTCCTTTGAGAATATAAACAAAATTGATAATTCTTTAGCCAGACTGAAGGGAAAACAAAGGACTCAAAATCAGAAATGGAGAAATAACTATCTACACCAAAGAAATACAAAATAATATTATACCAACCTAGAAGAAATGGATTCTTAGAAGCATAATCTTCCCAAACTGAATTAGTAATAAATAGTAAATTTGAACAAACCAGTTACTAGAAATGAAATAGAATCAATAGTCAAAAAAATCTCCCAACAAAATCCAGGACCAGATGGCTTCACAAGTAAATTCTATCAAACATTCAAATGATTAAAAGAATAGTACCCATTCTTTTCTATTAGGGCAGCATTACCCTGATACCAAAACCAGACAAAGACACTACAAAAAAAAAAAAAAAAAAACCAAACACACACACACAACACAACAACTACAGGCCAGCATCTCTGATAAACAGATACAAAAATCCTCAACAAAATATTAACAAACCAAATCCAAAAATACATTTAAAAAAATTACCACAATCAAGTGGTATTTATTCCAGGGGTGCAAGGGCAGTTCAATATATATAAACCAATCAACATGATACAACATGTTAACAAGAAAAGAAACATTTCAAAAGATTCAAAAAAAAGCATTTGATAATGTACAACATCCCCTCATGATAAAAATCCTCAACAAAGTAGAAGGAAACGGTTGCTGGAGAGAAGACAGGTGGGGGGATGGGATAATTGGGTGATGTGATAAGCGCTGGGTGTTATATGCAACTGATAAAGTATCGAACAGTACATCTGGAACTAATGATGTACTATATGTTGGCTA